GCGCGTGAGACGACGACGTATATATATATATATATATATATATATATATACGTAAGTTGCATTGTAATCAAAATATAATACATCTGTTAGGCTGTGGTATAGGTAGAAGGCTACATTACGCATACAACATAACAAAAAAACCCGTTCATAACAAGTACTTTAGTGAGAGAAATATATATGTATATATCTAATCGAAGTGCCTGTGCTAACGAGATGTGTGTTGTTTAGGCGTAATGCGCCCTGACATACCCAGTCCATTTTTCTCCAGAACTCCTGGACGGAAGGGATCGATCAACACATCACACTGTGGGATATTGAATGAGTGGAAAAATAGATCAGAGTAAAGTCATGCATAAGTATAGAGACATACACACACACACATATATATATATATATATCTATATATATACATATATATACCATACATAAACACACGCACACACACACACACACACATATATATATATATATACTTAGATATAGATATATATATATATAATCTCAATTACAAGTACTGGTATGTTTTGCGGAGAATTCGGCCTACTTGATTATCTAAGATTCGCTATGCTTTCAAATACTATGAATACGATAACAGTGTGGGAGGTCTATCCTTGACATGTCCCACTACAACCCAGCGGAAGGAAGAAATCTCTTCTGCAAATCAGCCACAACACTGGAACGACCTTTCAATAGTACTTCTGGCATTACTAAATTCATTAAGAGATACGCGACACAAGAACAATAGTTCTAGCGAACAAGTGCAAATAGATGAAGTTGCTGAGGAGCTGTAGCCAAACTTACTTACTCACTCACTGGGAAATACGGGTCATGTCTAGAATACTTCTATCTAAAACCAAACTTACTCACTCACTCACTGGGAATACGGGACATGTCTCTAGCGTAACAAGCAGTTAAATAAACGCCGCCTTCAATCTGTAGTCAAACTTACTTACTCACTCACTAGGAAAAACGGGTCATGTTAAGCATACTTCTAGCGCTAAAAACCTACAATCTGTAGCCAAACTTACTTTCTCAGCCAGTTTTTTGAATGCATCGACAGCCAGAGGATTCTTGAGATCCATTGCGACCGATTTCTTACCCCTGCGGCGAGGTGTGTTATTTACGCGTATGAGTCGAGTGTAGCACGATTTAAGAAACTAACACGACAACCCACTCTAACGGCAACCATACAATGTATAGACACATATACACGAACACAAAACACACGCACGCACACACACACACACATATATATATACTACA